CACACACACACGCACACACACCGGTGTTGCCACAGGCCCGAGTTCCCCTCCATCTCTCATGACCTCCCCAAGACCCAGCAGGAAGTGAAAGTCTCGAGTGAAACCAGCAGTTTTCGCGGTCTCCTCCTGCCCTGGACGCCCACGCTGGGCTGGCAGAGCTCTGGCCAGACGGTGGGGGCTTCCTCCCTGGGGATGGCCTCTGCCTCCCTCTGTGGATGGCCAAGCCCAGCATCTTGTCGTCACTCCCCAGAGGACCGTGGGCTCTGGGGCACAGACATCCTACAGAGCAGCAAGAGCACAGGTTGTTCCTTAAAGATAATGGTCATCCCATCTTTGTGACGGCCTCTTACGTCATTTAATTCTGTGTTTGAGATGGGGTCTCGCTGATTGCTGAGGCTGGCCTCCAACTTATGATCCTCCTGCCTTGGCCTCCTGAGGAGCTGGGGTCACAGGTGTGTGCTACCGCGTCTGCTTACTTCTGTCTTTTTCTTTTAAACTTGAGAAGACTTTGCCTCTGGGGCTGGCTGGCTGCACCGTGCAGTCCTAATGCGCCAGTCCTGGGTCCAGGCGGCTCGCTCTGCCCTCTCTGGGCACCTGGTCCAACACAGTCGAGGACGGTCCTTTTCTTTGTGTGTATCTCTGTGTAACGTGCGCTGCCTTCTGGGGTGCGTCTGGGCCCTCGAACCCTGGAGTTGGGCGATGCCAGCTCCCGGTCCCCTGCTGGGAAGATCTGTGTCTTGGCTTCTGATCCTCCGTTGCCTCCCTGGAGGGCAGAGCTACTTCCACCTCTGCACCCCCCCAGCAGGGGACAGAAGGTGGCCTCAACTCCTGTCACTGCACATCACCCCCAGTCCGCATCTTCGGCTGGTTCCTGTCGCGGCGTTGTTGTGGGGCACCGGGGATCAGCGTGTCCTGGCGTTTCAGTGGTGCCACGGTGTTCTGGGGGCAGCGTCACCGATCTGTGTTCCCGGCATGTTTTCTCTGCGTGATAGACACCTGGTACTTCCGGGCTCTCTAGATTTTGTCATTTGTACGGTGTCAGGAGTCACCTGTGTGAGTTTGGGGCACACGTCTTAGTGCCACTTACCCTATCACTGAGGCAATCATGGCAGCCCTCTGCAGTGAGTGCTGTGCCGTCCAAAGGCAGAGCTCAGAGAGGCTGAGTCACTTACACAAGGTCACACAGTGTGATTGGACATTCCCACCGGAGCCCACGCTAGTAACCATCCTGTCGTGTGTTTTATCTCCTTCTAGGACATCAGCCTGCCCAGCTTGTTGGCAGGGAAAGTGCTTTAAGCCTCTTTGGGGTCCCTGGGAACTGGAAAGGCACCTCTGGGTTTATCTGGAAGACCCCTGGGCTGGGTATAAAAGAGCAAGGGGGCGTGCGCCCTCTGTCCCCATGGAGACGCTGTGTGGGGGGTGGTCAGGGTAGGTGGGCTCCCCTGGTCTCCGGGTTTCCCACCCCCTTCTGGCCTCCGGAAGCAGCCTGTCAGGTTCGGGAGCAGGTGGCGCTGGGAGGAGCCCGCATGATGCTCCGCGTTGTCCCGACGCCCAGCGAGTGGCTCCCAGCGCTGCTGTGGAGAAATGAGCTCCAGACCCCAGGCCGAGCTGGGGGCTGACCTGAGCCCAGTCAGCTCCGTCTGGGGCTTTCCCACGGCCTCCTCAGCGTGCAGAGTCCAGGGTCAGCCAGAACTGCTCATGCCCGTGGCCAGCGGCGCTGGGGGAAGCCATCAGAGCCCCCCTTGCTCCTGCGGCCCTTGAGGGTGTAGCCCGGCGCTGTGGAGAGAGGGAGGGAGAAGAAGGGAGAGGGAAGGAGAGAGATAGAGGGAGAGGGAGGCAGCCTCGGTGTCCCCGTCTCCAGAGCTGGGTGTGTGATGGAGGGACAACGAGTGAACGGGCAGAGCCAGACTCCCAGCAGGAGGGACTGCCCCTGGAGGGCAGAGAAGCTGCCCAAACCTGGTGTGTGTTTCTGGTAGAACTCAGTGTCCCTCAGGGGACAGAAGCCGGTTGGCACATCTCTAAAGCTGCGGTGCCGTGGGGGTGGTGGAGGTGACCCCGGGACCGGGGGCAGAGGAGCAGGAGTGGCCCTCCGCCTGGCTGGGCAGGTGGGCGCCCAGGGCCAGGGCAGCTCAAGGAGGACCTTCTCACAGTCACTCGGCCACTTGACTGTCCACCCCTTCCCCGGGCCCAGGCCCTCGAGTCACCACGAAGCCAGGCGCCAGGCTGCGTCCAGCTCACCTCCCATCCCTCGCGAGTCAGCTCACAGGGGACAAAGTTGGGAAATCCTGTCACTGGACGCCTGGAACTCAGAGGGCACCCGGGAGCTGTGGCCACGCCTTGCGCCCAGGACTGGGCTGGGGAAGGGCCTGTGTTCCTGCTCTTTGACCCTGGGACCAAGACACAGGAGCAGCCGAGGGAGGGAGGGTTTCGGGCTCAGAGTCCACAGCCCTGAGCCCCTGGTGAGGCAGAGCACCACAGTGAAGGACCTGGTGGAGGGATGCTGCTCAGGACAGGAGGGACAGAGGGAGAGGGAGGGAGA